TTGGTTATTTGAAAAATAACCCCTTCCTGGAGGTTTTACTCAGGCTAACGTGAGAGTTTGAAAAGGCACCTGCATGCGTGCAGCATTGTGGTTTGAGTACTTGCTAAATTAGACATTGGCATTCATTTTAATGCTTCAGCAAAAGATAAGAAAGTACAATTTTCACACGGAATACAGGCAAAATAAAAAGTTGTGTAAGAACTCCTGGGTGCTTTTCATGGAGCGGTTTCAGCTGGATGCTGCCTTTGGTCAGGGTGATGCCGATGCAGCTATACAGGGGAGGAACAAGGCAGCACGCGGTTGTGGATGGAAGGAGTGTGGAGGGGGAAAAGCACTTTCCGTTGCCCTGTATGGAATTAATAATAGGAAAAGCCCATGTGTTGGTACTGGATGCAGGAGCTTTAGACCTCCGAGTGAGAAATGGCAGTCTTATTCCCTTTCTGCTTGAGAATGCCAAACTCCGTGTTTCATGGTAAAGGCACGGCCATCTTCAAAGTCCGAGGGAAAAGTTAGTAATAATCCAAAAGATCCTGACCTCTGTTTAGTTCTGCATCAGATGGAATAACAACGTCAGTAATTTAATGGCACATGTAGAATATGCAAAAGGCCGCGGTGCGGTGGTCTGAAGATTGATGTACTTGCACTGTGCAACCCTCTGTAGAAATGAAATCATTCGGGTGGGAAGGGACCCCAGGGGGTCTCTACTCCAACCTGCTGCGTGCGGCCGGGCCAGTTCAGGAGCTTCATCCCATCGGCCTTGGAAAACCCCAAGGACTGAGGCTAGGCAGCCTGTAGGGCTACTTACCTGCTCTCATCTGTAGGGCTACTTTCCTTCTCTCAGGGGGGGGGGGGGGAATCTCTAATATCCAGTCAGAATATTTTTTCAGTTTGTCTGTTGTCTTTCCTCACTGCTAGTATGTGTCTCAGAAACGGTGGCTCCTCACTTTAGGTGCAGTGTTATGCTGGTGTTGCAGCACCGTTGCTGGTCCCAAGAGCATGCTCTGCAATAGTACTGCCGGCTCGGATGGCTCGTCTGATGTGCAGATGTGCTGTGGTTACCCCTGTTCCCATGGTAAGGAGTGACCAAGCTATGCAAAAATTAAGTTTAAGATTACAGGTCTGAAGCTATATATATTGACAGAACTGTCAATATGTTTATCTAGAGAAGCTGCCCATTCCAAAAGGAACAAGTGGGAATCCTGTTTTGGAGGTTTAATTACTATAGGATAGATTTTTGTGACTCAAGTTGTATGATTACAACTTTTCAAACCGAAGAACAGCTATCCAGTTCTCTCATGGGTCATAGGATAGCTATATCGCATTCCTAATGGAAACTACCGTCAAGATGTATGGTTTTCCAGTTACCTGTTTGCTGTAGCTCCCTGAAAGATGGCTTGGAAGTCGCTGGTCTTTGGCATTTATTCCAAGACCGCTAGTAAATGTGTTTGGTGTTTGTGTGAGCGCCGTATACTGGGATAACTTGTTTTGTTCTGCTGAGGAACAGTGGAGATCCTTTTGGCTTGTTTTTATGGTCACCTTGGGGAAAGAATAAGAAAAAGTGTTCATAGGTCTTCATGTGTCAGTTAGGAGAGTTCAGTAGGTTTTAAAGACAATTAAATGTATACTGTGAGTCTGATCTCTGTTTTGAGACCAGGAATTCTTCAGCTTAGTTGGAAGATTTATTTTACGTTCTAAGACTGGTGCTGGCAGAGTTCACAAAAGTAAAAGATGTAATGGTTTTGTTTAAAACCATCTTTGCCTGGCAATTGAATAATAACTGTAGTTGTTCTTGGTAACGTATTTCAGTGTTTCTGGGATTATTTTAAAAGTATGTGACAAGGTCAAAGGTCCAAAAAGTGTGCCTTCTCTTCTTGAAGGGAAAAGTAAGAGATATACTTGAAGACTGAATGAAATTAGGAATGATCTAGGCTAGAAACAGGGAATAGCGATAAGATTTGGCATGAATGAAGCGAAAGCATCGGGAGTTTCGGAAGGGAGCTGTGTGGAAAGATGAATTCTAGTCTGATTTCTTGGTTGTCCTTGCTAGTCTCTATGGAACAGAAGTGGATGGGGCTAATTACAGTAAAATTGCAACTATGTAAGTGGAAGGCGTTTTGAATCGCACACAAAATATACCTGAAATGTATTGACAAAGAAAGATGTGTCTCTTCATCTGCTTTAGGAGAAGAGGAGGAGACCACCTGCATGACAAACTAGCCAAAGTAAGGTAGGCAAGTTTTATGCTGAAAAAGCAAGTCTAATACCTGAGTAATATATGTCACTTTAGCTAAGAGCTTGGGAGTTCCAGAAGGTACTATGAAATTCTTCAACTGTTTGTCCTAATACGGTGATTAAGAACAAGAAAATGGGGGTGGTAAAACTAAGTGTGATAGCCTCCAGACAAAGGTGTTCACCCTAAGTTTGAGTGTTCACGTATGATGAACTGAATAACTTTAAATCTTCATGGCAAGATTAAAGTTCTAGAATTGACCAAGGAGGTCTATGAATTAACAATATCTGTAGTTTTTAACTAATATTAAAAAAAAAACAAACAAAAAAACCTCTAGTAAAACTTGCAGATAATTTTTGAGCTGTATCACTGTGTTAATAACTGAGAAAAGAGGGAACCATAGGCTTGCCATCCTCAAGCAAAAAACACAGCAGGATGAAAAGAGTGGCGGGGATTGTGGATAATAGTGGGGGAGAAGAAAGGAATGGTAATATAATTAATGTAGTTTTGTGGAAAATAGGTGTTTGTCCTGAGAAGGGAGGCTTTTGATGATTTCCTAATATTGACATAGTACTAGTGTGTGAAACACTTCTTTAGGATACTGCTGGGTTTTGGCTCTAAATATAATCAGTGCAGTCAGTGTTAAATTAATGATCTTAAAAGGAATAAGGAAAAAAATTAGTTTTCTTTTTGGACATTTGTAGTACAGTCATAATGGGATGTGGAGTTTTTAGCCCTGATACTGTTTGGTCTCCACATGTGTTGCTTGACAGAGCTTGCAGATGTTATAAATTGAATGATAAATAATTATTGGTGCAATTCTAATGTTTGAATTGCTTAGCAAACCTGATAAAGCTAGAAAGAAAGATAGACTCGCACTTCCAGTCTGAGGTGGTGTCTTGAATTGCTGGGATATTTAGGGTTGTAGTGGTAAACGTATCATCGCTTTTTAGAGATTGAATTAAGTAAGAGAGTGACTGCTTTCTCAGGCGCAGAAAGCACCTCAGCGGCATATTTAGTATGACTGGTAGTGACTAAAAGTAATGTGAGGTGTGAAAATGTCTTACTATAGCAAACAGTATCAGTATTTGTCTTTCTTTTTAAACTTACTGTGGATAGAAATTAATAAGAACCAAAGGATAAATACCTGTGCAGTGGTATCTAGTCTAGAATCTGTCTTCCTTCTATTTCCAAATTCGGACAAAACCAAATTTGGAAAGAAGCATTTTTGGCAAGACCATTGGGGAAACTTGCATAGGCATGTGCTTGATACTACACTGCTCCAAACCACTGGATACTCCAATATGAAACTGGATTTGTATATGTTACAGATGTGAAGCAAAAAATACTGGGCAACAATCTCTTCTTTTTTGCAGCAGATTAGATTGAGAGGCCGGGGTAGTTATCTGCTGTTGACATTCATGCTTACACAGGTTAAAGATTTTCAGGTTTCCCTGAAATTAGAAAGATATTTGCATTTAAGTTCAAAGTTTTGTGCTTATGGGATAATTTTGAAACAGAAAATGTTTCTGAAACAATCTTACACTTTCTTTTGATGCTTACAGCTGGAGTTGCGATAAACTCTGCACTCATCTAAACGTAGACAGTGGAAGAAGAGCCAAATGCAAATGAGTAATTCTGGCAGTGGATAATAATGCATTCTCAGTCTATCAATTTTATTTTCCCTAATGAAAGGGATGTCACCTTTTGCTACAATGTAGAGACTGATTAAATTTGATTACTTGTTCAGATTGTTAAGGAATCGGAAAAATAAAAGCAGTCTTACTTAGTTCCTAAAAACGCATATATACTGCAGTCAAATTGTTGCTAGATTTGTGGCCTGGCAAGATAAGGGAACAGGCTACAAGCACTTCTGTAGGAAGGGAGAAGTGTCTGAGTCAGGGCTGTGTAGTAAGAGATTTTTCAAATTAAGATATAGCACCTTAGTAAAATACTGTAGTGATAATACTGTATGAACTTTATTTGTTGTTATTTTAATGTGGTTTTGCTCTTGTAGATAAAGTCTGGGGTAAAACTGGAATAGTATTGATAATATTCTTGCAATGATACTTAAAACTTAAAAATTTCAGTTTTTCAGATAACCAGGATGCACTTCCAGTGGGACTGGCTGTGCTTGGGTGTCTTGATAATCAGCTCAGTGACTGCAGAAATTGAAAACGAAGAAACTCTGGATGGAGATGTCGAAGTGGAGGATTTTGACAAGCAGTCTCAAGAGGCTGATGTTGACAGAGATAAATCTTCCTTAGAGGTAAGACTACAGAAGTCTTTAGTTAAAACTTGTTTAATTATAAGATATGTAGATGTAACTAGTAGAGCAACTGGTGGACAAATGCATTTTAAAAAGAGCACGCTAATACACAGTTGACAACTGAGTGAGTGTCAGATCCACCAGTCTGAGTTTTTCAGTTGCTGTATGTGACATACAGGACAAGCTTAATGCGTGTTTCTACTGTGCCGGGCCATAAAATCAATCTTCTGCCTGTGGTGGGTAGTCATGAAGAAGGTTTTGCTAGTCTGTGCTTCAGTCTAGATACAGAACCTTTTGTTGCAAGTCCTAACATGCCATTTCTAGAGAAGAAAGCAGAAAGCATCTTGGTCTTCCTGAGATTTTGACATTAGACCAGTTTCTTGATTTCATCAGTCACAGCTGCCTTTTGACACTGTCTTTATTCCCAGAAAATATTTCTGCATTTGTTACGCTGTACTTCATAATAGATGTGGGCAATATCAATAAATTATTTTTCAGCTTTTTCTTTTTTCTGTGTAGCCCAACTGTAATGTGTGGAGTAGATAGGAAAACAGAAGAATGGAGAACACATCTAGAAAGAAATAGGGAAGAAGCAGAGAATTGGTGCAAGTTCAGTAAATTTTCTGCATTTTTGTTACACGAGACATGTAGCAGTACTTTAGTTATGGGCTTTGAACACAGGAAGCAATTTTTAAAATTCAGAGATGTGAAATTGCTCACTGTTAGAGGGATGTGCCCAAACCGTAGAAGTGACAGGGACATCGGGGGGGTGGTGAGGAAAGGTGTTTTGTGCTGCCAGATGTTTCTGATGAGCAAAATCTGGTGGTCTGTCGGGGTGGACTACTTCTGGAGGTATGATTTGTAATTTATGTTAGAGTGTGTATCTCTACCTGTCTTTTAGGTTGTGTACCGGACTCCAAAGCCAACTGGGGAAGTGTATTTTACGGAAACCTTTGATGGAGTATTGGCTGGGTAAGTTCATGCCTTAAAATTATAAACTTTTACTTTCAGCACTTTAACTTATAGTGGCAGGACTTATTTTATATTATTTTTTCTGCTGGTATCTTTATAAAAAATAATTTTTACAGGGGTTAGGATTGGGAAGGCTGGTAATGCTTGCTCCAAATACATTATAAAGTTAAGCTGGACGGTTAACATTTCAGGTATGTTGCTATTTTTTGGGGTTTTTTAAGGAAGCTTTTAATAAACTCTGGGTTTATGGACATTAAGAAAAATAATATAATTTAAATATTTAGCCAGTTGAGTTTTAACTAGCTGCAAGGTGAAGTGCATAGCCATTATATAGCTACTGCAGTACCAAAGTCTCTTCCTCTTCACGTGCACTTAGATATATGTAAGAACGCCTTCAGCATTATAGATAAAAAGTCTTCCCCAATAGAGGTTTTTTAGCAGGTTTTTTTATATAATTTATTGTATTGCTTCCCATACTCAATAAGAATTAGATATTTGTGAGAATAGTGAAGTGTTCCCAGGTAGTTTGATGTTACTGCATTGAAATTTTAGAAAAATCTTCGGGTTTATCTCAACGATTATTAAGCTAGAAATTTTTCTCTCGTCTGTATCTTACAAGTTTTCTTCCAAAAGTGCAGCACTGTAAACTGCTACTGGGTGACTTGTGTTGCTCAATGAAAAGCTGTGTATTGTGACCTATAGTCAGTTGCCACCAATGCACTGTCAATAAGGTCAATATAATATATTACTTTCTATTTCTGGAATAGACTTACTACTTTTAGTTGGAAAACAACTTGGCTTTCAGTATTCTTTCTAGCTCAGATGTAAAAGGTGTAGAATGTCAAGGAAAAACAAATGAGTACCATGTAAATGTGGTCTGTATGATCACTAACTTTTCTTCTTTGAATCATGCCAGGTTAGCATACTGTCACTGGCTCAAGTTAAAAGTGTGCATCCAGGCACAATCTGTGAATGCAGTAGGGATCTCTTCAGTAAGAGCTGGTGTGATGAGTTGTTAGAGTACTTGCTTGCTATGAGAAGAGCTTTTAAAATGTGAAAGCGAGTCTGTTTTTTAATGACAAATCAGGTCTTACTATTGGTACATTTTTTCCTGTACACTTTGCTGTTGAACAAGAGAGCTGTCTCTTGATTTGTGAAGAATCATGAAAAAAGATGTTTTCACATATTACTAAAATTGATGGAACAAAAACTAACTCTTCTGTGAAGATCCAGACAGAGACGTGAAAGGAGATGCAACTGATACGATACGTTCATTGTGGTCAAACTTAGCTCCTGTATTTTACTGCCTCTGAGAAGACTGAGATCCAGCTACTGTAGGAGTGAGATTATGCCATCATAAGACATGTATGTCTGTTGAGGATGCATGATTTAAACTGTAAACAAAATAACATGGTAGCAGGCACCAGTAACTTCCATAAGATGGAATCTTGCTCCCTTTTCCCCGTTTCTAAACCATTCTCTTCTGTAGAGTTACAGGGAACTTCAAGCCACTGAACCGTAGTCTGTCATTACTCACATTATGTTCTTTCATATTGTCTTATTTTTTGTTACATATTTAGACCAAATGTAGAAGGAAAATAAGTTAACAACCTCCTGTCTTCAGTGTATCGCTAATTAATGATATGTCACTTCTAAATTTTAAGCAGTGGAATACAAAAGCAGTACCAATGATGACAGGAAAAATGGTTAAATAGAAGACGTTATAGTGGTTGTTAAAAAAAAAAAACCACAAAACAAACAAGCAAACAAAACCCCAAAACAACTCAAAACCTTGGTTAACAAATGCAAAAAACTTAAGTGGGACGCTTGAATTATATCATTCATCCCAATTTCTAGCTTTGTGAGATCTGTTCAAAGATTAGTTTGTTTTCCTGCTAAATCTAATATTCAAAGCTTTAGCTACGATGCTTGGGATTTTTTGGTCTAGCAGTACCTAATTTACATAAGAATAACAAGTATGGAACTAAGATGTATGAGAAAGTAAGCAGCATGTTGCCTTTCTTCCCTGAAATTGAGGAAAAGAGTACATATAAACGGACTAAGTAAATCACCAGAATAGAGTAGCTTTTTGAGAATGGGCCTTGAAAATCTTCTGCATGACTTGTAGAGATGTTTTGTTTCCTCACTGGTCTTTCTGCTGGTAGACCAAGGATCTAGTTTGCCATTTATACTGTGAAGCTTTTCCAGCATCTCTGTTAACAGTGAACAAATCTGACTGAAATCGAAGCAGAAAAGATGAAGTATTCATCCCTGAAACGCTCCATGCAGAGGATAGTTCAGAATGAATGAAAATAGTTCTTTACAGAATCAATCATGAAAATGTAGTATTGTAGTTGATACAATGAAGAGTTCAGCGACACTGTTCACATCAGATATTCCTGTGCATGGCTCAGGATGGAACCGCTGTATGACCCAATGAGGTCGACTGCCCTTTTTTCCTCCTTTTTTTCTTTTTTTTTTTTTTTTTAATTTCTCCTCCTCCTCCAAATGGACACTTTGTGTGTAGGGTATATGCATATCTTCTTGGTAGCCTCAGTTTGATAAGCTGAGTTTACCTTGTTCATAGTGTCAAGGAGATCAGGAGTTTGTTTGCGCATGGGGATCCCAACAGGGCAATACATTTGGAATTTGTTCAGTGCATAACTGCACTTGTCATTTGGAGACTTGTACCCTTCCCTTCGTGCTCTGCCATGCATGTGTACTCTACTGTCAGATAGTGTTAAGGTTTCTTGTTTCTTTGGGTGATTGTTTTCCTTTCCTTATCATATTGAAGGTTTTACACTTGAACCTTGCTATTTTCCATGTATCTTTGATGTTATATGCTTATGTAATATTTTAGCATTCTGCCAATCTCAGCTTGTATATAAAACTGAAGTTTATTCAGAATATTTGAATTACTTTAGAATTATAATTGTATATTCATTTACACTCTTAGGAAGTATTTTGAAATGCTATATTAGACTAACCCATTTTAATTTTTCTTTTCATGTTCTTTGAACTACACAAAACTCCATGATGCTGACTGTCAAAATCATTATCACAGGTTCACATCCTAGAAGCAAAAGCTGGTTTTGCTGTGCTTGTTTAGTAATACAGTTTTGCATAGATGGTTCAATGACTAGTACACTTTTTGTTTTAGGTGGGTGTTGTCTAAAACCAAGAAAGAAGACACAGATGATAACATTGCTAAATATGATGGTAAGGAGTTTCAATGTTTATTTCCACTATATAGTTTCGGATGTTCTGTTGCTCTTTGAGAGATAACTAGCCCTTACACTGAACTGAACTTTGAAAACCTACTGATTCATGGGTTGGTCTCCCAGTCTAGCCTCTAAAACAAAAAAGTTAAACTGAATGGTATTTTTCTTTAAAGAAGTATTTTAAAATACTTCAGATTGTCTGTGCTTGAATGTAGGGTTCTCCAGTGGCTCTTGTACTGTTTATTCTTAGAGTAGTCTAAAAAAAATCTGAAAAGTAATAATGAAAAAGTTGTTTTGATTTTTTTATCGTTTGGGTTTGCACTTGACTTATAAATTCCTAGTCTAGAATTGCCTGCTTGAATGTAATTTTAAACTGTTTGACAGCTGTGTGATGTGTGCCAGTTTTGCAACCTGAATCTATTTCATTCAGGAGAAAGTGGGGAGTACAGAACAAGTTTCTGCTGCAAAAGAAAAGTATTTGGTACTGCTTTTATGTCAAATGAAATCAATTAATGTTAATAGAAAGTGGTAAGCAAATGTATCTTGTAGGACTTTAGCATGCAAAACACTACAGAACAGATGTTTTTAGGTTTAGCAGTTACCAGAAATAACTGGTAAAAATAAAGACGCTGCAGAGGAGATATCCATACAGATGAAAGAATTATAAGATGCAAAACACTACAGAACAGATGTTTTTAAGTTTAACAGTTACCAGTACTGGTAAAAATAAAGACGTTGCAGAGGAGATATCCGTACAGATGAAATGCTTATAAGAATTGATGTCTCTGTGATTACTTGGCCTCATGTTAGATAGAAGTTGTCTCTAATGTCAAACTAGTCATATTTGCTTAAAGTCACCCAGACAATTCCACATTAACAAAATCCGTGGTGAAAAGACTTTTTTGGAACTGTTTTCCAATTTAATTTTTTTTTTTTGGTCTTGTTGTTTTGCCTGGCAATATTGCTTGGTCTTAGTTTCCAGGAAGGAACATTGTTGAAGGGGAGGGAATCTTCCTCCCTCCTTTAGCAGCCTAGAAGAAACGGATTTGTTGGCATACATATCTGCTCTGCCTTAATGACCTTTCACAAATCACACTTCAGTTGGAAAAAAAAAAAAATGTAAATAGCTGTTTCATTTAGATTTCACAGTTTATGAATCTTCTCTAAAACGCATGCTGAAGAACTTACTATGTTTTCTTCCTTTTGTTCACGTTGACATGGGCTTTTTCGAGATTACAGTGGGCTGTAAAAGTAGTCTCTCTTTTGTGCTGTGTTCGTTCCTCAAAAAAAAAACCCAACAGTGAATCTTGTGCAGCTAATCTCTGAGAAAATAAAACTGCACTTTTAGAAATCTTGTTCTTTGGATATTGCCCACATGTGTAATCAACTGTATTTTTCCCAAACTTGGAGAATTTATAATTATATAATCTTTTCTTTTTAAAGCTGTAGGCTTCTTTGTTTGTCTTTAAGATCAAATCTGGTAATTCCTGGAAAGACTTTAGGGGGGGAAGCTTCATCTCCCATGTGATTAGATTTGACCTGAAAGATTCTAATTCTGTGTAAGCAGGAGGGGAAGAGCCACGTAGGTATCTAGCTTACGCAATGCCTTGTGACGAATGCTTTTTATGTGATGATGGTAGGAATAAATCTAAAATCTGGAGAAGTATTTTATGTTCCTCTAGGTGTTGTGAGATACCATAGTCTAAAGATACAGATCTACAATATTAAAGTTTTCTTGTAAAGAGCAAGGAATAACATATACTTTACAGGTCTCATCTTAAAGATAGTGAAGGCTAGCATTATCTTAATTGGCTAGAACTAATAGCTTTTTGGTGAAACGGGAGAGTGGGCTTTTCTGTGTAGTCCCATGCATACCGAAAGTGTAGGCATCTCATTAATTATCTGCCAATTTCTTAGGGCTGAAATAGATGGTTACAATAAAAGTCACTAACTACGAACCAGAGCTTTGAAACATTCTCTACATTAGCAATGCAAGCATTAGGCTTGAATAAAACAACATGTCTAAAATGTATTGATTCTTTCATACAATACTGCAATTAAAGAGAAATCCAGTGGGTGTTTGCACATGCTACAGGTTTGTGCAATAAATTTAATTCAATTTTATGATGTAAAGACATTTTGTGTTAAATGTATACTTTTTCTATTCAATTCCATTGGTTTATGGTGGATTGTGGTAAGGATGTGGTTCTCTTCTACTTTGGAGTCCATTTTTTTTTTTAGTTTGAAAATTCCATTTTACATAAAACTGATATTTTGATAATTTTATCTCTTTTGGCTTTAACAGCTATGAAACTGATTTTTACTGCTGTAGAAACAGCTACTTGGGGAAAGAAAAGAAAAACCTTGTCACTTCTTCTTGTTACAGCTGCTTGCACTCTTTTTCCCTAAGCTTGATTTCTTCCTTGCTATCTGAGTCAGAACATTGAGTTGGATCTTTGGTGTGACACAGTTCTTATTTTATCGTCTAACTGTGGAGCTGGAATTCTAGTTAAAACATCTGTCACTGATTTGACAGAAAGATGTGAGTGGCGAATTTGTGTACTGTGAATGATTTTTTTGTATTTGAGTGCTGTAGAGCGCTTAGTTTGGGGAAGCGTAAGTTGGACTTGAGTATGTTTTGTATCCACGGTAGAATTACCAGTAATGAATTGGATGATTATTGTTTAACTTCTTTAATGTGAAATATCAAGATTTCTTCTCTACTTTGGCAACTAGTCTTTATGTGCTGTTAAGTCTGCTTTCAACAAGGCTATGATTTCTCTACGTCAGCCTGCATTTTTTTTTTCAAAGACTCTGTATATGTGTGTGTATTTTAGGAAGATGGGAAGTAGAAGAGCTGAAAGAAAACACAGTGCCTGGAGACAGAGGATTAGTGTTAAAATCGGTGGCTAAGCATCATGCAATATCAGCTATGCTAACAAAAGCATTTATTTTTGATAATAAACCTTTGATTGTTCAGTAAGTAATCCCTCAGATTTTTTTACTTAATATTTATTAAACTCTTTAAGTCAAGAAAGTAATGTGAATCCCTGCAGAAAAATACTGGCTTCCATATAGCATTAACTTATCATATCCAGAGCTATCAGTATGAATGATTTAATAATCAAGTAAGATTGTAGCACAAGTGTTAAGAAGTGATATTTAAAGTCTTTTGAAATATTTTTGGACAGAAATGTGATATCTTACAAGATTGCTGAAAAAGCTAATTAATTTTCAGTCTGACTCTAAAAGATCTAAATCATGTGTAGTTTGAGTACAGTGTTTTTCCACTCACAGAATACTTCTGTATAGCTTTGTAAAAACAACTCTAATCTTGATCGTGTTATAGCAATGTTAGTGATGATGAACATGGTGGCAATATGATTACTTTTTTCTGATACTCAGACTTGCTTTGTTGTACTTACAGACGTATCCAGATAACTCCTCTGGCTGATTTCAGTGTGTCGTGTGGGCAGTTTCAAAGATGGCACAAACTTTCTAGAACTCTTGCCCATTTCTACTTTACTTTGATGTTTGCCTGTTGGTTGGTACCACCTTGAAACTTTTCTTACCGGTGATACCAACTGTAGCAATTGCTACCATAGGCATTTTTTGACTGACATCGCTGCTGTATTAGCTTGTGTGACAATTAAAACCTTTTGGTCATGTAGAAGTGTTTTGACAGCAGTGACTAATACACAGTCTTAATGTATTCATAATTAGAACTGCAGATTAGGAGTTAATTTGTATTTGTCTGATACTTGGAATGTTTGGGGTTTTTTTTAACTTGTTCTTTGCCCAGATATGAAGTGAATTTTCAAGAAGGCATTGACTGTGGTGGTGCATATATTAAACTTCTCTCCAGTGGTGATGACTTGAATCTGGTATGTCCTCTTACTTAACATTTGCTATCAGTTGTTCATTTGAGGAATACGTAATTGTTCTTCTGAAATGTCAATAAGAAATTAATTCCTAATGCATCCTAAATTCTTAAAAGCTTCCCGAATGTTTAAGCAGAAGGTTAGGCAAAATAATAATAGACATGTAATTGGTAATATATACAATAAACCTTTGGAGTTGTGCATTTTTTACTGGTAGAATATTTGATAACATTATTGTTGTAATTTCCATTTATTTTAATGAAGCTTATAGGTAGTCTGAAACTTAAAGGAAGCTATTAAGACCTGTATTCACACAAATCTCAAAATGTGAATTTCAGAAGGTTAGAATGAAGACTTTGTGATTAACATACTCCTCTTAGTTCTGCACCAGTGATGTCTTGTATACAGGTCAAGGACTTTTGTATCTGTTTAGTCTGACTTTCTGCAATAATAGAAGCCATAGAATCTCAACTCTGTAACTTGTGAAAGAATTTTTTTTTTACTGCATGGCACATGACATGGCATCTTAGAAAGGGCCACAATTTGGATTTAGAAACCGAAAGTGATGGAGAATCTCTGTTCCCAGAAAAGTTCTGAATGATTAGGTGTAAAAATTACTAAGTATGTTGGACTGTTTTGTAGATTGGTTCTCAGTATATTGATGTGAACTTGCCTGCCCTTTCCAAACTTGTCCACAAAACTTTATTACTGTGCCAAGGTAATCAAGTATTTCTGGCTTAAAATGCTGCCTGTTCTAGCCAAGTCTCAATTCTGGCACATGTGAGTTGTTTCTGCTTTTAATATTTCTGCCGCTACGCTGTGTTGTAGATACAAGCTGTCTAGTCTGTGACAGAGGATGTTTTAGCAACTTTTTTTTTTTCCACATTCAGAACTGACAGCGATTTGTGGCCTAGGAGCTTGTGCAGCACAAAGGTTGTGTTGACAGAGTAGGGATGGCTGATATATACAACAGTTGCTGCAGCTGCTTTGATGGGAGCTGGTGCTTTTGGTACACGGCAGCAGTTACAGAATAGGATTGCACATTTGGACAGACTTGGAATGACCAGTGTGGATTCAGAATGTTAGATCGTGAGCTGGGAGGAACTTGCGTTGACTCAGCAATACAAACGTGAAGTGGTAGGGGTACCTGCAATCCTGAACCAGGTTGCTGTGGCCACTTAAAAGCTGACTACCCTAACTACTACAGGTTTGTGGCTAATTGGTGTTGTTGAGCCAGCATTCAGTAGTATAGTGACAGAAGTTACAACCTGTATAGGCTATAGAAGTTGTTGGGTTTGAGATGCATCAGGCTATACCATTTGCTCATCAAGATTTGGTAAGCTAGAAAGGCAAGTTCATGGAAAAAAACAGTAGGGAATAGTCTGGAAAAAACTTGTAATAGGAGTGTGGGCAGAATTCATCACTTCCTCTCTGGGTAAAATTTTTCGTCTATGCTTTTATCCCTGAGACGTCTGTGCCTGCCGCTGCTGCCTTGACCCATGAGGCCATAACCTTGACTTTCAAGTGCTGAGGAGAACAGCAGTGAAGTGTGATGCCCTGTGTATGTGCAAAAGGAAGAGGAGATTGCTCAGGACAGGCTCAAGACATTGCTTGACCTGACCTGCAAACCAGCAGTCAGGGAGAGCCACTTAACAGTGGGACGCTTCATGAGATATAAGGGATAATATGTACCTCTGCAAGAGTTTAAGAGAACACAACATGCATAAGAAGAAGCTGCTTGTTAGCATTTCTAAGGTGTATTAATAAAAGCTTTAATGCAACTTCCTAGTGCTCTTCCTTTTTCCTAAAATTTATATGCCAGTGTGTGTGTTATGCTCAAATAACTTGAGTACTAATAGATAAGTACTAAAAATACAGGCTGTAGGAAAAGTGGAGGCATAACATCTTTCATAATGGAAAGATGTGTAAATGATAGTAAAACTGGAAAGTTTTAATGTTTTAAAAGAAGGTATGAGACCAATATTCAGCTCAGTTACACATGAAACTGTCATTCTCCAGTATCCGTTGTCTTACTAGAAGGTAAACCGGAAGACAGCAAATGCAAAATTTGCCTCTTTATGGCCTGGCTCACAATTCATCCGTACTCTTTTGGGAATTTCACTGGCTATGTGATGAGGTAACTTATAAGAGTCGATGTTCTCTCAGCTCAGTTACACATGAAACTGTCATTCTCCAGTATCCGTTGTCTTACTAGAAGGTAAACCGGAAGACAGCAAATGCAAAATTTGCCTCTTTATGGCCTGGCTCACAATTCATCCCGTACTCTTTTGGGAATTTCACTGGCTGTGTGATGAGGTAACTTATAAGAGTCAATGTTCTCTCTTTCTTGTTTGTTTTTTTTATCCTTTAAAATTGGACATGTCTCAGTGCTGTACATGTACTTATTGCTATTAGATTAGTCAGTTAATTATTGTTAATTCTTATCAGTGACATTTTCCTATGGCTGTTGAATGTTGTAAAAGGGACCAAACTTAAAATACATGCAGTTCTATAGTGCATAAAGTGAAAACGTTTTACTTTGCATTCAAAATATTTAAAAATACAGTCTCATTTCAAACCATATGTTTATGTCAGAATATATCTTTCAAGAAGAAAACTTCCAGAAATCTCACGGTTTTCTTCCTTCAAGCAATTGCTTAAGAATATAAGGCAGCATGTTGCTGTGTATTGCAAATACAAAAATCATATAAAGAGTTGAAAAATATTGACATATCTAAACAGCTTAATGCAGCATACTCTGAAGGAGAATAAACACATCTGATATTTTCAGGGTTGGTGGTTGTTATTTAATGTGGAGCAAGAAGACTGATAAAGTGCTGGATAATAATGTCCTGGGTTTTATCTTTATTGAAAAATATTACGAAGAACAGTAACTAGTTCCCTTACATCTTTTAGTGTAATGTTTGTAGGATATAGATACTTGGGTATTTTGATTTGTGACAGGCATTTCTACTAAACGTGAGGGTAAAGTTTAAATAAATATATTCATCTTCCTTGAAGAGGCTTAAGTGATCTCTACAGTTAGTCCGTTGCCTGAGAACAGACAGCACCTAGCAACTCAAGAGGACTGTTTTAATACCTTCCATGATTTACCCTACCAGTTTTCAGTTACCTTTTAGAAAAAGGTAACTATGCTGTATGCCACAGCATCAAGGAAAAGAAGTACCCAAAATGACTTCATAAAATGTACAGTATAACACATGCTCAGCTTTCTTGCTTCTACAGGAATACTTTTTTGACAAAACACCTTATACTATAATGTTTGGACCAGATAAGTGTGGAGAAGATTACAAACTACACTTTATCTTCAGACATAAGAATCCTAAAACTGGAGAATATGATGAAAAACATGCAAAACGTCCTGACGTAGACCTAAAAAAATTCTATTTGGACAAGAAGACGCATCTATATACCCTTGGTATTGTTTAATTCTTATAACTTTAAATTGGAAAGGAGCAATTGAAAATGTGTTTCTGTCCGCTGAAGCCTTGTATTTGAGTCTGCTTTTTTGTTTGTAATAGTCTGTTAATTCTGAGGGGCCTTAATGATTTGGGCTTAAAACATTTAATGACTGGGCTTAACTGCAGGACATAAAAGTGGCTTTCAAATGCTACTGTTTAATATTCAATTACAGGAAAAAACATATCAGCCCTGGCCAGCTTTAGCATGAAGAATTGGTTAATACTTTCAGTACTTATTATGATAAAAATCTTTTTGTTAAGAAAGATGTTAAAAGACACACAACTGTCCCAATGTTCCAGGCAGGCGTCAGAGTTCACAGGAATGCAGCTAAATCTGCAGCATGCCACACGCCACTCTCCTCCACGTGTTCGGAGTTCTCACCCCTGCATCTGCAGCAGTGTGCGTAAACAGATACGGAACCGCGTTCTCTGAAGATGAATGAATATGGGCTGGCTTTAATTCATGTGACATCTCTTTCTGTACCAATGAACAGTACAGCGGAGATGAAAGTTTAATTTCTTAGTTCTTTTTTTCTCCCTCTTTCTAATGTCTGAGGAAGAATAATTGATCAGAGAAGAATGGGCTAATCTGTGGCATGCTGCAAATCAGCAGAATCAACTGTACTTTTGAACTTCCATTGAATAATAATGGAAGGCATGTTCACCTGCTGTACTATGGGAAAACCTAGTGATTTTTAAAATAGATTACCATAGTGTACCATAGCAAACTTACACTTTTAGATAATAGGAATAAGTGAAACAAAACACTGTTCTTGTGGTAAAGGAATGCATGTGTTCCTGTATTTGGGCTGTTCATTAGAAATTACGATTAAAGATGCTTAAACTCAGCTTGCATTTATTCTGTTATTGTTCAAATAGACTCCATAGAGCTGTGTGATTCTAATGCATTACATGACTGATAACAGAAGTTTAAAAATCAATTCTTTGTATTGTATCTAAAGTGATACAGGGGGTTAATTTTTGCATTTATGGATATTTTAATACTGTTGAAAACTCTTGGGCTGAAAGAGCTTCATTAGATATTACCAAATTGTCATTATAAGACATGGTTTTCATCACCCATCGTTATAAAACTGTCATAAAAGTAGAGTAGTATTTACTTTGAATTAATAATCTTTGTGTTGAATGGACACTTGAATATACTTGTTAAGCATTTATAAATGTGCTCCCTGGTTGTTAGAAATGGATCTGGATACAACGTCCGTTACCGAGTCTGACACCGCTCAGTTCTATGACCCTGGCCTCTGTTACTCACACTTGCTAAAATACTTAAACATTTGAAGAGAATTTTCCGTATTTGCAGTCTGGCATTGGAGGCAAATGGCTGTCAGATTTGAACCTGAGAGAAAATGCTGCTTTGATCCTTCAGCTGCGTTACTTGACGCAGCTCTTGTGTTTCCATGCTTTCAAGTGTGAAATGGTAATTTGGTAGCAGAAATGCCTTTTGGGGCAGAGGTTTGTGTTTCATTCTCTGTGTGTTTAAATAAATAAAGCAAGCAGAATTTTGGCCAAGTGGTAGGTTTTTGGAAAAATCTTAGAAATGTGCTTGGATGTGTTTCAGCAAGTGAATTTGCTAGAGGTTTCATTTTTGGGGGCCTGATGCTGGTCATACATCCTCGCAGCAGCAACCTCGATGGTTTGTGTCCAGATCCAGTACCCGAGTGAGGAGTCTTGTCTCCTGCTCTGCTAGTGAGGATCCTGCTTGCTGTCATTTGTCCAAGTCTGTGCTTATTATATAGGTTTGGGTTAAAGATATTTGTAAAATGAATGCTTCCCTTATTTCTTTAATACAAATTTCTTCAATTTAGTGCTAAAACCAGATGATACTTTTGAAATGTTAATTGACCAATCGATTGTCAGTAAAGGAAGTCTTCTTGAGGATATGGTTCCTCCAGTAAACCCTCCCAAAGAAATAGAGGATCCTGGTGATAAGAAGCCTGATGACTGGGATGAGAGACCAAAAATACCTGACCCAAATGCTGTCAAACCAGATGACTGGTAAGGAGAAGAATTTTTTTTTTTACCTGTACAATACCCTTTACGTGCAGGTTATTCCTTTGAAAGATTTGATTGGTTTTATTTTGGTTTTTGCTAATGACAATTGGGCTATGTTTCACTACCTGAAGCACTGAAGTTAGAAAACATAACTGAGGTGGGTACAGGGATCTGGTCATCTTCTCAGGAAAGACAGAATTGTACTTTTTGCTGATTTGTATCCTCCATGGTTGCTGTTAATAACTAAGATTACAATACCTGAAAGATTAGGAAGAGGGTGGGGTTTTTTCCCCACCATATAATCTTAATTTACATTCAATGATTTCTACTTCCTTCTGTGTGAACTACTGTTCATACGGCAACTGGGGAAGAGGAGGGGAAAACTTAATGGGAAGACCTGACTGACACCTGCCAGTTGATGGCAGCAATGTCTGGGGTACTTTGAAACAATGTAAATATAATTCAGATATTTCTGAACAGATAATTGGATGTCTAATTCTCATGATCAGTGTGTCTAATTCTGTTATGCCGTAGAAAATCATCCCTTTAGTGCCTGTTACAGTCCTCTGAACAGAACACTGCTTCAATGTCAAGCTGCTGTATTTTCTAACATAAGTCTGTAATTGAAGGGATGAAGATGAGCCTTCCAAAATAGAAGATCCTGATGCTGTTAAGCCTGAGGGATGGCTTGATCATGAACCACAGTATGTTCCAGACCCTCATGCAAAAAAACCAAAGGACTGGTAAGAGCTTGATCAGTAAGTGCAGGTTGTTAATGTGTCTAGTAGATTAAGCCTGCCTATTCCCTGTGGCAAATGATGAGTTGTGGATCAGAAGTCAATGCAAATATCACTGTCTTTTGAGGCAGGAACTTGGAATGTGTAAGATACGGCCAAATAGTTGTTGGTTTGGGGGGCTGCTTTTAGAAAAACATGAACATGTCCGTTGCCTTTTGTTTTCTGAAGATACTTAAACAAAAACAGATTAAGAAGGACCCCTTTGAAAGAGTTTGCTACAAGGTTAAACCATGAAACAGTTTCAGTTGATAACTTGAAATGATCGTATAATAGTCTCAAAGGGATCTCTAAGCATCTTGCAGAGAAATGTTTCAGGCTGCCTGCAGATGTAGGAATATAATTGCATTCAGTCATGCTGTGGTAGTTATGAACATGTGACCTTTTAAAAAAAAAAAGAAAAGGCGTGGCACTCCTTTAAAAAAAAAAAAAAAAGGGGGGGGTATAGTGTTGGGTAAAGTTCTGTGAGCTCGTCAAAATTCTGAGGTTGTTACAGCAAAATGTGTATGGACCCTAACTTCAGACTGACTCCTAGTGTTCAGACCAGTCCCATCTTAAATCAGTTGTTTGTAACTTTTTTCTGTAGGGATGAAGAAATGGATGGGGAGTGGGAAGCCCCTCAGATCCCTAATCCAAAGTGTGAGACTGCACCTGGTTGTGGGCACTGGGTGCGTCCCATGAAGAATAACCCAAACTACAAAGGAAAATGGAAAGCACCTATGATAGATAATCCTAACTATCAGGTAATAGCAATATTGTAGGTCGTTGTTAAAATGTACAGACTTCAACAGAGCAGGCAAGTCAAAGTAGTGTATTTATCTAGGCTTTTTTACAGTATATTTATATTTTATAATGAGTCTGAATACCCTCAACAAACATTTTGATCTTTTTTATATTTAATTTGCCTTTTTCTTTAAGTATACTGGAAAATAGAAGCGCTTCCTGTATTGAAACAATTTCTCTGTTAAAAGTTGCTTTTGCAACTATTTGCACTGGTACCACTTATTTAATGTGCTCTGTAGAATTGTATTCTGAATTACGTTATTTAATGAAATATTTATCTTTTTTGTTGGGGCTTTAAGTGTAGGTCTTTTAAATGAACAATTTTTTAATTTAAAAAAGTGAAACCTTTCAGTAAGCAGATTGACTTACTAGTTTAGTGTTAGTGGAAGCACCGGTCTTGGATAATTAAACTCCCGTCCTCTCCAGATATGAGGCAATCAGTCGGATATTAGAGAGTTACTTTGTTTTAATTATGGCTTTGCAGTACTTGAATCTGATTTCTTTGAGCTTAAGATCCTAAGCACGTTTGTAAACAAAATTTGGCTCTAATTTGCACAGGTATCAAAGGCTGTATTTTCCTTCCCTAAAACTTTCCCTAACACTTCTGGTTACAGTAGCTCTCAGTTTATATATCTATCTATCTATCTCTGTGTGTGTGTGCATACATATATATCTATATCTATATATACACACATATATACATATACTGGAAGGGACCATGTGGATCACAGGAGGTAGTTCCCCTGCAGTCTTAGGCCACCAGACAATAGATGCTCACCTCAGGTTCCATCACTGGCCACAAAATATTGACCAGTGCCTTTACAAAAGTATATACACTATATTGATGAACAAAAGCCATATATTACAAAATATGTATATATGTAATATGTACAAAGTACATATTACAAAGCTATATAGTACATAAGGAGAGACTAGAGGAAGAAGTAATACCAATGTCTTATTTTCCTGCAGTATTGGGAAATTTGTTTCCTAGACTTACTTTAGGAAGTTTACAAAGACTGTGCTTGGAATCACCAGTACCAGGAAGAATGGAGATACTTTGTACAGTCAGTTATTACTGTAACCCTCTATGGACAAAAAAAAATAAATAATTAATTTTAAGAGGTCTGCCCTAAGCCAGGAAACTGAGACTCATCTGCTGAAATCCTATAGGCTATTTTCAATTCTGTTTTTATGTAGGTTAAACTCTACTGCTTGTCTTTTTAAATAATGCTTTTAAAATTGTCGGAAGCTCTAATTATTTTAAAATTTGTTCCACAGTTTGTTTTTAGTGAGGTATGGGTAATGTGATCACTTTTTTTTTTTTTCCTCAAAAGGGCATCTGGAGCCCTCGGAAAATACCGAACCCAGACTATTTTGAAGATCTTCACCCCTTTGAGATGACCGCTGTCAGTGCTATTGGTTTAGAACTCTGGTCTATGACGTCTGATATCTACTTTGATAACTTCATTATATGTTCAGAAAAGGAAGTAGCAGATCGTTGGGCAGCAGATGGCTGGGGCTTGAAGAAATTAGTAGCAAGTGCTAATGAGGTATAAACTTTACTATGTTCTTGATAGCCAAAAGCAGTGAGAAAGATGTGCTGTTGGAAGAATTTTCTGTCGATTAATGCTGACAGAATATTAATGTTGATGAGTAACTATGATTTTTTTTTTTGTCTTGTAGTTTGGCAGTTTACCTTCCCCAGATCAATATGCTTTTGAACTTAAAAGGGTACAACATTTTACTTAAACACCTAGTGAGAAATTGGCTTCGTTTTAGTTAATGAGTCTTTTGCTGTTCATGGTGATACTAGGAATTCAGTATCTGTCAGCAAATGGAAGCTGAGTTAGTTACACTCAAAGACCTCTTCTTTTTTTTTTTCTTTTCACTTGTGGCTATCTCCGTTATATATGTTCCTTAGATGTTTCCCTCCCACGAGGAATGGACAGTCGTGTGGTTTTTCTGTTTAATAATTTTAGGCCTTTGGCTGGTTAGATGTATATTTTACAGCTCTGAAAATAGTGCATGTATGTTTATGGAGCTGCATCTGTTCTTCTGTTTCTGTGTGTGCATCCACATTTTGTTTGTATACTGCAATTGGCCAGCTGCCACAGGTTTTTCTAGGTCTCTTTCCTGTGCTGTAGAATGAACTTGTCCTGACCTGCGGGGTTGTGAGCCCCTCTAGTGCCTGCCTTTACTGACTACAGCTTCTCTCTAACGCTCCTGTATTTTCTGTGGTTGAGTGGCAAGAGCAGGCCTGCAGTTGTGGGAAGGAAAGGATGGGTTGGTGGCAAATGTGGCCAGTTCCTGACAGCTGGTGTTCATCACAGGATGAGAAGTAGTGCCATCATATCTGCCCATGCAATTAGGAAAGTCACCTCCTCCCACAACCTTGCCCTTTTCTGAAATGTTTGGTTTTATGTCTGGATCTGCATCTATACCTGTACACACAATAGCAAAAAAATATTCCCTTGAGTCCCCTCATTCCGCTGTGCCTCTCAAACTTCCTACATTAATTGCTGGTGTACCTTTTCCAGAGGTCTTACTGGACCAGGCACTTGCCTACCTGCCTTTACTGTATGAGTCAGCACTGGGCTGGGAGGACCACTTACTCCCTGAGTAATTGGGTGTCAGAGGAGAGAAGTGGTAGTACAGATGGAGCAAGACATTGCTCTTCAGGAGACTGGCTGCTGCTCTGAGGTTCTTGATGTTTTGGGAGCTGTCAGCTGAGTTAGCACAGTGTGGGGGGAAAAAAAGAGTGGCTGGGAAGGGTATAAAGTGTGAGTGCCCGTTTTGACTAAAACAGTACCAATTCTCCTCTCAGTAGATTTTTTTTTTTTTCCATCAGTTAAGTTTCTTCTAAGTAACTGCACTTTCTGAAGTTGACCACACGTTTTTCAGACAGTGTCTGCTTTCAGAACTGGTAGCACTTGATGTCTATAGCTGTCACTGAAGGAACGGCAGGACTGGTACGCAGAAAGGCCCCTGTTTGTACTTATCCCTGGGGGACCCAAGGTCACTGCCAGCTCTCTTATGTTCCACAAGTGAAAAGGCGTAAAGGGTCACACCTGTGGGAAGGAGTAGATGGAACAGGTGACCAAAAACTAACGAAGGAAGTATTCCATCCCATACACATCATGCTCAGTATAAAGTTAAGGGATCATAGGGCTCGGCCCTTGTTTTATGGCTGGCATCCCTGTGGGAATCTGCTTGTTCTCCTGCCTATGATTACAATCCGTGTATTCGTGAATCTGGTTCCCATCTGCTGGAGGGTCCAGTCCAGGACGTCCTGGCACCCACCCTGCTGTGTCAGCGGTGCGAGCCACCACGGCACATGATCCTGTGATCATCGTTGGGAAGCTCAATATTGGTTTTGTATATTTTTATTTCTGTTAGCAGTAGCATTGGTATTAATATTATTATAGCCTTTTTCATTGTTATTGTTTTACTGAAGTAGTTTTTAATTCCAACCTGTAAGTCTCTCTCGCTTTTCTCCTTTCCTCGCCCTTCTGGGGAAATAAGGAGTTAATAGAGAGCATCTGTTGTCCACTTTAATTGCCAGCCCAGCCTTAAATGGTGACAGTGAGGTTGCCAAGACTCCAAATGTCGCTTTACAAAATTGAGTAGTGGCTGGTCTAGTATGTTTGGAGTACCAGGCTTGTTTCTTCTTACTTAGCGCCTGCTATTTATTTGCAATCTGTCAATTGTTACTTTACTAATATTGTTTTAGTCATTAAATAAAGCTTAAAATATATACAGTACACTTCCTCCGCACTTCAATAAGTTTATAGGGATATAAATGCAAAATCTTTTTTTTTAATTGTTTTTAATGTAGCCCGGTATGTTTAGTCAACTGGTGACCGCTGCAGAAGACCACCCATGGCTCTGGGTTCTTTACATCTTGACTTTAGCTCTCCCTGTTGGTCTAGGTGTGTTGTTCTGCTGGCCGGCAAAGGTTAGAAAAATTTACTATATTTTTATTTGGTTTTATTCTTAGTACTTTATTTGAAAACTGAGCATCTGTGCAACAATATGGACTTTTAATGTGCCATTGATATTACTTAGCTTACAGTGGCTGTTGTGTTTAATTCTTAATTTGAGTTTAAATGTAAATTGATTTCTAATTTGTTGTAGAAAACAGATGAAGATATTGACTTAAAACCTGATATATCTAAGCCGATTACAAAGGGAGAACTAAAACAAGACAGAGAGGAGTTAGAAGATGATGAAATAGAATTAGAAGAAAAAGAAAACGAAGATACTGCTGAAGATGGTAAGATGAGCAAGCCAGCTTGCAGTTTGATTAAATATAAGGACATGAATAGGGCTAGTTCATGGATTGCATTGCCAATAATTACAACCAGTTATCTCGGAATATGCAAAACTTGCCTTGCTCTGAGTCGTCTTTTTCTGTTTGACAACCTCCAGTGAGTGACGTTCCATGGCTAATGGCTCTCCTCAGTATTTTTCACTTTCAATAAATTAATGTGCTTCTGGCAGTCTTTTTATGTTTCTAGACAGTGATGCATATTTTCTCCCTTCTAAATATATTGAATACATTTGAATGGTTCAGATATATGTACCTGAAGTGGTTAAAGTCATGTTGTTGCCTTTAAAATGTGTCTGGAATAGCTTTGTCTTTAACATGAGTTAAAGTCTGCTTACTCCTCTGTGGGAGAGTTGTACCTTGAACTATTCAGTTGGTCACTGCTTTTTAGTAACTCTTGTTAAAGCCTGAAAATACAGTAGACTTGCAATACTGAAGGCTGCTGCTTCCTTTGTGTTGCTTTCTAGCAGCGCATTGTATGCCTGCAGAGGTCTGTCCTGCTGCCCCAAGGGAGGAAGAATCAAGGATTCAGTAGGTTGAGCTATACTTTGGCATCCAAGCATAAAATCATCTTGTGTTACTGTATCAAAGATTACTGGTACTATTCTGCTATGGCTTCGATGTTCTGTTAGCATTTCCCTGAGTCTATAGTAATGAATAAAAAGCAAATCACCTAACTTATAGTGCATTATCTTGACTTCCATGAGAAAATCCTTAGCCTCCAACCTCTGCAAGATTCTGCCTCTTTCTTCACTCCTCCTTTGTAGGAACGAAGAAAGTGACAAGTGACTGGCATGGAAAGTTAGAAACCTAGCAGACATTCATGGGTTGGGTTTCTTTTTTTTTTCTTAGTACCAACATCACTCTGTATCACTGACTGAAATTATGTGGGTTTTGTCTGCCTCTGCACTATGTTCCATGAGTGCTGATGGCTTCAGTGGAAATCAAAACAGTTGGGTGCCTGGCCTCCTTCACAAAACCTGCAGAATAGAGAGTTGGTTACCTTAGAAGGGCAGCCTACGTGCTGATCAGAGCGCAGCTGCGAATTCGCAGTATTTGGTGCAGGTACTGCTCTTCAGTGCAGTGATGTGGCCTCAGTAAGAAAGTAGAAACCGCTTCTATGTTGCTTAGCCTATAGGTTGTCCAGGAAATTCTGGAGACTAGAAAGTTACCTTTTTTTTTTTACTTTTTTCCCCTTTCCTCTCCAGTCCCTGTCAGTTCAAAGGTCTAACTGGCAGCAGGTCTCATAGAAAGCTTACTGCTTTTTGTGAATAGTTTTATCCTAGTAGTGCAAGGAGGACATACTTCCAGTGAGGTGAGGGGGGTACATTGCTTTTATGACTAGTTTCTGCATGGCAGTAATGCTAAGAAGCGGGTAAGGACAGAGCTGCTTATGCCTCAACCAAAACAGTATGCCGAAAGAATTCCCTGCTGAAAAAGGGAGTTCCCTTAGGATGCAGGCGTCCCCCATGGTGGATGACTGATAACTGCAATATTGTACTTTGCTATCTAAGTCAGAATGCGGTCAGGTTTGGGATGCCTGAGTTGTCCTCTTTTTGGACTCTGGTCTCAAAACGGTCTATTACAATACTTGAATTGAAGGACTTCCCTAAACGAAACCAACTTAAGGTCATCGCTTTAGTCGGTCACTTACAAGTCTGAAGAGAGTGTGTGCTAGGCTGAAGCTGTTAAAATTGGTTATTAAATCTGACAGTGATCAATTTCTACTAATTCATGAGAATTCTACTCTCTGTATCAGAGATGTTTTTTATGGGTTATTGTAAACAAGCTGTTCATTCTAAGACTGAAACTGGCTGCTTTTCCTTACTAGTGTGTTTGGATGTTGTGCATTTTTAATATAGTTCTGTTTACAAAGTAAAATCAGTTTTTTCTGCAGAAGATGAGGGTGAAGGTGGTGAAGATATTGATGATGAAGAAGAAAATGAAGTTGCAGATGGAGGTCAAGAAGGTGATAAGTCAAATAAATCTGGCTCAGAAGATGAGGTAAGTTTGGGGTTTGTCCCCCTATTTTCTCCTTGCCCTTGTCCAACGTTGCACTTCTAACTAAGCCCAATTACCTATAACAAGAGTTTTTCTTCTGTTGAGCCATAAAACTAATCATGAGGTGAGGATGTGTTTTTATTTGAGTTTGCCTCAAATGCTTGTAGAGGTTTGTGAAACATGCCTCTTCCTGTGTAATTTTGGCTAGGAGGTGATACTTATTGTAAAATACAGGTGTAGTGTAGAAGTGATGATGCAGGTCTCTAAACATGAAATGTTAAAAACTATACTCCTGTAAAAACAGGTTATTAAGTGAATTGCAAGTCTTGAAAACTTGGATGCTGCAGTAGATGTCAATAGAACATGCTTCTAACCAAACAGCCTTTCAGTGAGACCTAAAAAAACCTTGAGCTTTCAGTTTTTTGTTTTGGTTTTTTTTTTTTTTTGTTTGTTTGTTTTTTTAAATTCCAAAATAAGGTTTTAAGCAAAATGACCATACTGGTTTGAATTCAGCACCTGCAGTTTCATTTTTCTTGTGCAGATTAATCCAGTCACCAGATAATCTATAAAATGTTTTTCAGAAAGTAATGTTGTAGAATGGAATTTGTTTGTGCTTTTCTTGCTCATCAGCTACTCGTCCTTTCATTTAGAAACTCTGGTATGTTTGAAACGTTTTAGAGCCACCCACAGCATTTCTGTTGGTCATCTTGTGCTTGTCACTCCCTAAATGAGTCCCTTCCCAGATTAGGGGAGTTGTTTAATGTAAGGTTAACACCTTTTAATATAAAACTCCGCTAGGAAACTGTACCTTTCATGAAGTTGCATTGTTTCAGCACTGAAATTCCTCATTAATTACACCTTATTTGGTGCTTCCTCTTGGTCCTGTAAGAAGGTGTGGGGTTTTTTTCCTTGCACGTTTACCTCGGAATATAGTATGTGCTGAGCCCCTATTAAGATGCATGTGACTCTTTGTGAAAGTAATCACAAGACCTGAATGTGTGTGTGCCATTACACAGTATCACGGTGAGGTTACGGCTCGCTCTGCTCTGGGTATTTTCAGGGCGTACAAGTTTCTGTCATGAGTTAGCTAGTGACCTACTTGGGAGATGTCATGCACACCGTGTCCTCACTCAGGTTGTGCCACATTCTGTGAGCTGTTTCTTCTGAATGAGCTGCTTGCCATTAGGTGATGCAGGAGAGTGAAGCAGCAACGCATTGTCTGAGAAATGGAGTTCATGCGCCTCTGTAAGCTAATCGCTTTTAAACTGAGAAGAACATATCTGATTTAAGAACAGTTGTTCTGTTTGTAGCTCTCCAAAGGTGGCAATTAGAATGTTTTGCACGCTTCTTGCTTAAGAAGTGGAAACTAAAATTAGCATAAGATGCACTGTAAGGAAGTTGCTAAATTCATTAAAAAGCCACTGCTTTTAAACTAGTGAGTAAATGGGCAAAACCAAATTTCTGACATCAGTTTAGATGTACTATTCTTTTCCTTCTGAATATAGAAAGGAAAAGTCTTCTACCCACTTTATTTATTGTTAGATCAGGACTGTGGGAAAAAAAGTCCGATCGCTTAAATGTTGCATTTAGTGATAATATGATTGGAGGGGTCAGGAGGAAGAATGAAGTAACACGCCAGTTTCAATAATTAAATTAAAATTGGTTTAAAATTTTAATGCTGAGTATTTTTTTTTCAGATGAAAGAAGCTGATGAAAGCACAGGTTATGGAGACGGACCACTGAAATTGGTGCGCAAAAGAAGAGTACGAAAGGACTGAATTACTTCCAGCTAGTGTTTGTAGGTCTAGATAATAGTAAATTTTGGTGTGCCACTTCAGTGGGCCTGACCGCATGCAAGTTCCTGAGATTTGAAGGAAAAAGAGGGACTCGTTGCTACTTAACCCTCCTATTTTAATTCTCTAACCTCTTTTAACCTTCCCAGACTTCCTTGATTCCCTTTTTTTAAGGGAATCTATCTATCTGTGAGGAGTTAGCTAATGTTTTGAATTCAGAAAAGAAGTGAAATTACAAGTTGGCCAACTGATTTTAAGGGGAGGATTCTTAAGATTTGAAGATTCCTAGAAATTAGTATTAGTTGGAAATAAACTTACTTAAATATTTTTAAAGACATGAATAAATTATAATTTTTTTGCAGTTCTAGCACAAAATTAGCTGTTTACACTTTTCAGCTAAAAGAGGATGATAGTATAGATGTAGCATCTATAGCAGTTCACATTGCTATGAGAAAAGGTATTTTCTGTGCAGAGCTAAATGCAATAATTGTTTTGTATGATGATTTAGTGCTAGCAACGATTTTTATTGTAAATTATTTTAGTTGATCTTGTTACATGGGTGGTCACTTGTTCACTTTAGACATTGGTTACAGTAATTTATTTCTAAGAGATATTTTAAAATAGAATACTCATAGAACAAGTGGTAATTGATGTGACTTGTTTTACTTTTGAATGCAGATATCAAATCTGCAGAAGTGATATACAGATTTTTTCAAACTTTTATAGTTCTCATGTTTGAAACCAGAGTTGTATAACCTCTGTTTATAGAATACTTGCTAAGTGTACATTGCCTCCTAAGAATATTTAATAATTCTTGCTTAACATGAAATTTATTAATATAGATATGAATTTTTGATGGTTAAGTTTTTTTACAGATGTGAGTAACTGGGCATTCTCATAATACAGTTTAAATAAACTGCATATTGTAAAAGAAACTTTGTTTGTTAAAGTTCAACTGTATATTAAAACAAACAATAAAACTGCAGTCACTAGAAACCTCTTGCTGCTTGGCAGCTGCCTATAATATTAGTAGGATGTAAAATGCTAGCAAAAGCAGTCATACATTAAAAGCAAGTAGAAAAACATTAATTGATAAGGAGCCTAACCGATTTCCTTTGCCTGGCAAGAAGTTAGTTCACTTAAGGAAATATTTTCACAGCAAATCAAGTCAGCGAAGATTCCATGGAAGTCTCTAACAAATGAATGCTTAATTAACCCTAATGAAGAAGCCACTGTCTTCAAGTGCTTGTGTTGAAGTGTTCAAAAGTTATTTATATTGGACTCCATTTTGTGTGAACTAGATGCAAAGGCCTCTGTGTGTTTGGTTTGGGGTTTTTTTTGGTGGTTTGGTTTGGTTTTTCAAAGTTAAATGCAAGTTCCCTCCCATTTATTTAGGGTCGACACGTAAAAGGTAAGAAGTGAAGACTCCAGATTCCTCCTCCTGCCTGTGACTTTTCAGCAATAGATAGAAGTTGTTACCAATGCGGTATCCTGCTAGTAACAGCTACTGTGAGCTGTCAGGGAGCATTTCAGCACTCCTTTTGAATGAATCTTGTCTGAGCCTGGTAAAAGCCCTTTGGAATTGTTACAGCACCTGGGGGTGGTTTGGGGGTGGTTTTTTGTTTGTTTGGGGTTTTTGGCTGTGTGTGTGGTTTTTTGTTTGGTGTGATATAGTTACACCAGGGATTGGTCACTCCACAAGGGATGCTAGTCTTCCCTTAGGGTTTTGAACTTGAGGTTCCCATAAAGTCTTGATTAATGCTTCATCAACATCTTTGCTTGTACCTCACTTCAGTAAATAAGGAGCCATTTATTATGGGTAAAATGGTCTGGTGAGGCCATGACTCAAGGGTGCTGTTTGCAATAATACCGACTGTAAGGCCTGTCTCACTTTAATGCTGACTTAATGACTTCGATTACCTGGAACCTGGAGAGAGAAGACATGCTTCTGCACATCAGCTTACTTGGATCTAGTAATTGGGGGAGAAATATGAGCTTTGGGGGTTTGAGGCTCTAGATCTAGAAAGCCAGGCAAAAGGGGAACCCCCTTCCGTTGACGCTTGTAACATTGAGATTTCACCCACAGTTCCTGTGTGTAGTCCGTTTATATTTAGCAGGTATTACGGGAAAAAGACTTGATCTTGCTGTCATGGCTGCTTGAAAGTGCTTTGATATGAACAAATTAATGATAATCTAGTTCTGGGATGCCTTCCTATTAAAACTGTCAGTTATCTTTGGAACTCTGTGAGTATCAGACCTCCACAGCCTGCACTCCCACCAGCTACATCACAGCTTAGTAAAAGTGGTCTTACTGAGAATGCCAAATCCCAGATGGAGAATTTTCTGTCTTCAGGGAAGGCTAAATAGGATTGAGGCCTTTTTATTTAATTACAACTGAAGCTACTCCTCAGTTAGCTTCCACCTTCATGGAGGTATGATGAAGTAATAATTCTGGCTTCTGTCTAATGTAGAGCTCACTACCTCTGTAGGAAAAGGTAAAATCTCTTCTATTCTGACTTGGCTTAAAGTTCTCCCACATGGAGAGGTGCACGTTTTAGCTTTGGCAACGCTGGATGCAGTTTACCAATCCTTTTCCTTTTTCCTTAGGCCAGAACAGAAAAGTATACAGAAATGTAAGATTAATGAGTGAAAATACCAAGTGAGTCAGGAACTGGAAGCTTGCTGAAAACAGATTAATTAACCCAGGTTTAATCTTAATAGTTGCTAATTACATCTAGTCTTTTGGACACTTCCGCTATGTAGAAACAATTAAGATGATGGCACACCATACTACTATTTCACCTTTTGACTACAGATAGTTACGAGAAGTTTCAGGGTTTACAAATGTTAAACCAAACTAATCGAGACAAATCAGAAGTTTTTATTTAGTGTAAAGTCAGAAATACAACATCTTTAAAACGTTTGTAAGTTAAATGAAGGCCACAGTAGTGGGATGCAAAATGGTATATAGATGAAATGACTACTATATACACACCAATGGATAAAATATCACTATCCAATCTTACAACACAAACCCATGATTTTGAGATTACTTGATCCTGGGGAACTGCTGAAGTCTAACAAGCGCATGCTCTGTTACCACGCGATCTCCTGCAGTGCAGATGGAGATGTGCAGTGATGTGGCTTTAAAGCTACAGTGGCTGCAATGCAATGCAATCTTTAGAAGTCCAGTGCTTGGTGTGATTATTCTTTTCTTTTTAATGCTCAAACCCTGGCCTAAGCATGTGATCTAGTCTACCTGCTAGCAATTCTTGGATGAATTTAGAGTTCCAGATAGGCAGTAAAGTGAGAGAGTAGTCCACAGATTAAAAATAACTTTCAGTCTTTACAGGACCCCATGAACACAGATGGTATTGGCCATTTGTGCCTTGGTGGGTAAAACTTTTTTCAGCATGAGGTTCCTTGACTCAGACTTGTAAACTGCCCTCGAGACCGAAATGTTAGTGCTTTGTTTCCAATCATTTGACTTTGCTGACACTCCAGTGAGCGCTGTACAGTCATCTGAAATGGGGAGAAATGGGAAATCTCTCATTTGGGAGGGGAGAACCTCACCGTGTCCACTTATACTTGAGACACAGCAGTGCTTAGCTGCCGAGAAGCTTGGGGTTTGAGAGGGATTTATTCTACCCTTACATCCGCTCATTCAGTTCCTGCAGCTTTATTTTATGGAATTCACCACAGCAAGGTTGAAAGAGCTCCTTGAAGTAGTGGTTTTCTTTTGTTAAAAGGTAAAGTACAACGGCTTCATTACTGAAGAGACAGACCTCAGTTCTAGGTAACACCCGTAAGTCTGCAATGCTGCTGTTTGGCAAGCTGAAAGAGATGCAACTTGAGTACTGCTAAAACTTACATCGTCGTATTTCAGCTTCTGCTCTCCCTTAACACTGACTATGCTAGACATGCCGCCTTGATGGGAAGTGCTCAGACCCATAATCTCAGCTGAGCTCCTTTACAAAACCTGCTACCCAACAGCAAAGCCAGTAAAAAACAGGGCACCTTGACACCAGGTGTTGCTCAGAGCAGCACAGATTTGAGAGGCAAAAGCTGCTTTTGTTCCACTGCAGTCTTCTGCCTTGGATGTTTTTGTGCAGTGCCTCAAGAGGGTACTTCGTAAGCTCAGGCTCTGGGGCAGGGAAACGGTTGCTCTAAGGCCTGAAGCAAAGACAAGTTTGGCACTTTAAGAGGAAAGTAAAAGGGTGGCAAGGAAAGACTTCTCCTTAGTTCCTCACTGCAGATTGTTCAGAATGAGCATCAGGAACATTGTTGACCACCTGTTTCTGTAAAGCTTGTTACTCAGGTTTTTATTTAACTCTTCATCACACAACTGAAAACTTCAGGAAGATCATACATCGTGATGCTGTGCCTGATCATTCTTCGAGGAAAGTGAAAATGGCTTGAAGTGTACCCCTTACAAACATTCTGATACTGCATCAGTTTGGAATTTCCCTGATGTAAGTTGCTTATCCTTGTTCCTCTTCCCTTACCCTCCCCCTTCCCAAAATATCTTCAGTGTTTTTCTGTACGCAAGCCCTGCAAATAATGTCATACTGCTATTACTTCATAGAAATTCTTAACTGGTTTACAGGGCTTTGTTTAAAGTTGCTTTGCAGAGCTACGGACAGTACTATACAGTAATCTAAATATATCTGAGGTGGAAAAGGTGATGCAATTAGACTCTGAATATCTTTATCAAATGAGGCTTCAACACCATATTACAACTGTATTTTGCCAGTCATGAACACTACCCTCAGAGTGCCAACAGACTTCTGTTTAACCTGACAAACTGAATCCAGTTTTTAACAAGATATGCTAATTTTTTAAATAAATACAAAAGTTTAGTCTCTACACTACATTTGCACATTGCTTAGTCTTAACAATACACAAACTTATGTCTCCTGTCCCTCATAACGCTCTTAATTCTGTTTATCACCAAAGTTTATAATCTTCAGGTAATCCAGTAAAGCCACAAACTAAGTATTTTAGCTCATGTAGCCTATGCCAATTAAAACAAAAAAAGACAGCAGCAATACAATGACATCATCTGTGAGTCAACCCTTACTTCCTTTTGCTTTTTGTGTCAGTTGTTTGGAAAACACTAGACGCTGACATCAGATTTTCTATATACTGTCCAAGAACTTGGTTTTCTGATTTCAGTTTCAAGTTTTCTTCCTTAACAGCATCTACTCGTGCCGAGAGATCTGCGAAGGTGATATTATAAGAAAAATATTAGACACTATTGCATACAATAATGAATATGTTCTATGTGCCTACATAAAACTATTCACTTTTAATGCGGGGAAACATTGCCATAAGGTAGTATCTTATAAAACACTGTGCTACTCACAAGTTTTATCTAAAGCCCATTTTTCCTGTATTATTTTGTAGTACAGTATTCTGACAAACTTGTTACGCAAACTTCCTGTTAGTCTGTATCTTTATTCTTTTCTTGAATTAAGCTATTGCAAACTAAACTATTTGGAAACAAAAGTTCAGTGATGAGCAGACTCAAAGATGTATGTCAACTAAGGAGCCTGGCAAAGTTAACCGTGTTGCCCCTTCTGCTTGATGCATATTACAAGAGTCAAGCAAACACTGTGTTGCACAAAGAGGGGGAAAAAAAAAAAAGTAGTTCTGAGACCTTGTTTGTGTACTTTCAACTGCGTAAGGGGCATACTTCTGGACACTTTGACTAAGGTACGGCAGAACATTAAGGTTCTCTTCTTATTACTGTGTCAAAAAATCTGATGTGTCAAACTGCTAACCTTCAAGTGTGTGCTGCAGTTCCAAAACTTGATTAATAAGCCGTGTTTTCTCTTCTAATTCCACCTGATTCTCAGCCTCAACAGCTGCAATAAATCACATGAGTTTTAATGCAACCTCTGTAACAGCTGGAAATTATATTAACTTGAAAAAACAACAATGCAGAACAAGAACATTAACAACTTTTACCATCCATGTCGGCATTCATCATTGTAGAAGGGGCTCTTTCCACTTTTGAAGGGAGTAGTCGTGAGAGACGCTCTGCTAAA